AAAAAAAAAAAATAAAAAAAGTCTCAACTTGTTAATTTTGCCTCCTCTACCCTAGCTGCAATCAAATTTTAGAACCAAATACTTTTCTATATACTTAACAGTTCAACTAAATAGGGCCAATATACTTCATTTTTATTTTCCTCCTGTTTCCTTGATTTCCTCGTATTGGAACACCAGCTGCCTCTGTCCACTAAATGTTCTCCTTGTCATACAAGTCTGATGGATCCCCACTGCCAGAAAAAATGGTACTCTCCTCTGAACTTGAGTGCTTTATTTTCTCTCTTTTGCTACATCTAATACATCCTTACTTGCATGTTAAATATTTGCCTATCAACCTTATCTCCCCAGAGTAGATTAGCTACTTAGGAGGATTTATACAGGAGAAATGAAGTCATGTTATTGAAGAATTTATTTTGAAGAAATCGTCCTGATGCCATTCATTTTACATATTTTACTTCACTTATTTTATCTCACTTGTTTTTTAACTCATGATAGAGAAATTGAGATGTTTCATAGGTAAAAATTAAAAACAGAGAAACAAAACACCCTGAGAACCAGAGAGGAGAAATAAAATCACCATATTTCAAAAAAATAAAATTAGCAAAATTATTATCAAATGTGCACAACATAGTGTTTTGTGCAATGTTGAAGAAAGGATATGTGTATATCCTCGCTTTGGCTATTACACGCTGTACATATGCCCCGAAGAACCATACTGTTCCCCACAGGGATGTACATTAATTACAAAGAAATCAGAATTTACAAGTAAAAAGGAAAAAAAAAAAAAACACCTTGTGCAAATGTACACAACTCAGATTCAAAGCAGTATCTCAGAGCCAGAGCCAGGTCTATTTGCCTTATAAGTCGACTACTATTTTGTGTACCTACCACAGTGGGAAATACAGGTCAGGATTTATGACTTATTCTGTCTGTTTCCTACTCTGAGCACACCTAGACCCTTAGGACTATATTGGGTGTGAGATGAGAGAGCCGGTCTGGCTTCTCTGGTTTCTCTCTTCGAAAGCAGATTCAAGTCAATGCACTGCAAATGAGGAAAATTAACTCATAGGGCTGTCTCTTGCCTTGTGTGTCAAGCTTTGAGACAGAAAGAGAAGAGAAGCAGGCTTTGGAAGGGAGCATGTGCAGCGCTCCAGCAGAAAGGCGGCTTCTGCACGGGGAAGGTTAGAGGTTTGAGTGTCCTACCCTCTGACTGTGTCATTCGCTTCTCTGTCCTTTCTGCCAGTCTGTTCTCAGTCTGAAACACCATGGGACGGCCATGCTGCGTGGTCACCATGGAAAACTTGGATGGCCAAGCAGGCTATAAGCTGATGAGAGACAGAGAGGAAGTCCAGTGCTAAGAGGCTCGTAAAAGACAAGGAGAGTGGCAACTTTGCAGCTCAAGCTTGGGGTCCTCCTCTCTGGTCAGGCTGTGTTCTTACCCATCTTTCAACCGTCTATTTACCTGCCATGCATATTCATTTGTTGATTGGTCTTACGCTATGTGCTTATAGGTTCAAGTGCTACTTAAGGCAAATAAACATTATACTTGCTCTTGAAACTTATAAAGACACTAAAAAATACTCCTGAATAATTAGCAGTGCCTAACAAACTCAGGCTATAACTATCCCCTGTATAGTAAGAAGAAAATATAGATTTCAGTCACAGAAAAAACACAGAAACTTCCTCTGTGACTTCCTAGGAATCCACAAGTCTTTGATCTTCAAAAGACCTTAGATATTATCAATATCTTTAAGCTGAACTATACTCTTTCTAATGTCCCGTCTAGATTTTACAACTCATTATTCTAATTCTTTACTCATGTAATAATGTTCTTAAAATATCAGATTTTACTCTGGAAGATTAGGACCACAGCTGGGTTCTGAAGAGATAGGGATATAAAGACAATATTTGGGCAGACACTGTAGAAGTAAAAGGTAGGCTAGAAATTTCAGTCAGGTAATATTCTTCCTTCTTTCCTTCCTTACATGTGAGAAAAATAGAGAGAGGAAACGAAGAGAGTGAGTCAGGCATTTCTGACAAGAGTCTTCATGCTTAGATACACCCCTTGCGAGAACCCCAGAACCACGGGCAGACACACACACACACACACACACACACACACACACAACATGTCCGGGGAGGTCTTGGGACATGGGACATGAACTCAGGACCTTCCCTAATGGCTTCAGAATTGCAGAGCCTGGTGTTACTGCTTCACCACACTGCTAGCCAGATGATGTCCTTTCCACAGCAGTCTTCACACTTACTTTGCCCAAGACCATGAGGACACTCCTCAGGATTTCTGTAGCTGCCTGTCCCTTCTCCTGGTTTGTGGGATGAAGATATAGATGTCTCTGAAGCCTCATCAGGGAATATCAGAATGGGAAGTTTGTCTTTCCTGGCAGTTTCCCGTTAGATGATGTTGTATCTAAAGTGGAATGGTGCATCTTGCTCTATCCTCCAAGGGACAAATTAAGTGAAAATGTCACATAGTAATTAGAAACCCCCAGAGTCAAGTCTCAAAAGTTTTCCTGTGGCTACATAGCCTTGTCTCTCATTGGGGCATAAAGCTGGGCACTGGGACTCAGAACAGCTGTGGGAGTCAATCGGGATTGCAGTTCTCTGGAATACTCCATCAGCAATCACCACTTGCCTCCCAAATTTTTCACTCATTTTTCTTGTGATTTCCATTTCTTTTGCTGATATAATACTAATGCTAAATAAATTCTATTTGGGGAAGTTTTAAGTATCCATCTCACTTGATCCTTTGAAAAACTATTTGTATGCCTAAAAATTGTTAACATGGCAGCCCCAGCTGCAGTAGCTCAGGCTGGATGCTGCTGTTCTGGCACTGCTGAGGCCACATGGAAGACCCGGGTTAGAGTGCTGACTCACCCTAAAAAGCTGGATCTGGTGGCAAGTGCCTGCAGTCCTGGCTACATGGGGGCAGAGGCAGGAGGACGACAACACAGAAACATCCTGTCTAAAACACCATACACACACACACGCGTGCACATGCATACACAAAAAATAAAAATAAATAAATTTTCGCGTGGTAAACTTTATATTACTGGCTTTTAAACACAATTTAAAAAATTTTATATATGAACAGGAGAGACAAGTGTTATTCCCATTTTGCAGATGGAAGAAATCGAATGCTTTCTCCAGTTTACACAGGCAATACAAGACAGGGGAGAAATAGAATCTTAATCTCCTGAGTTCAAATTCAAACATTAGTTTTTACCTCTACTGTTTATAAATATATGTAGAAAGGCATATGTAAGCACATGTATACATACACACATAGGATGCTTACAAAAGTTCTTAAAGGGACCAGCAGGT